TGAACAATTCTGGAAAATATATAGTGGACACTTGAGAAGAAAGTGAATTGAGTTTTTCTTGGGTGCGGTACTCTGAATACATTCACCAGGGTGAATTAGCTGAATGTAGTTTGGATCTTCTGTATATTTGTTAGCTTTTTTTTTAGTTGATCTATCCTTTGGTGATAGTAGTGTGTTAAAATCTCCTACTACTACTATGGTGTTGTCTATTTCTTTAATTTTGTTAACCACTATATTACATATTTTGGAGATCTATCATTTGGTACATAGATGTTGACCAATGTTATGTCTTCTGGATATATAGTGCCTATATATACTGTCTTTCCTTACCTTTTGTAGTGGTTTTCATCCTGGAGTCTATTTTATCAGAGGTTAGTACTTCCACACATTTTTTGTGTATACCATTTGCTTGATTTCTTTTTTCTAGCCTGTGATTTTGAGTCTATGTTTTTCTTAATTTCTTAGATGTGTTTCTTATAGACAATATATTAATAGACTTTTTAAAAAATTAATTTCAATGAACATTTACAGAGATTTTGGATTTCCATTTTTTTTTTAAGTCCATTCTGTTACTCTTTTTCTCTTGATTGGTACATTTAGTCCATTCACATTAAGTGTGATTATTTGCAAGCTAGGTTTTATTATTTCCGTTTTACTGTGTTTCATTTTTTTGTTGTTTCTGGTTACTGTGGTCCATCCACTTTTCTTAGATATCACTGTATAAAGGACTTATATTAGAAGTTCTTGTAGATTTGGTCTTATTACAAATTTCTTAAGGCCCTTCTTTTCTGAAAATGATGTAATTTGTTCTTCATATTTGATGTAGAGCTTTGCTGGGTACAGGATCTTGGTTGGCAACTGTTCTCTTTCTGTTTATGCCATCCCATTGTCTTTGTGCTTGCATGGTTTATGCTGAAAAATCAGAAATCAATTTAATTGCTTGAATCTTTGTTTTTCTCATGCTGCTTTTAGTATTTTATCCTTTTATATTGCAAATTTGAGTATGATATGTCTTTACGGTTTTCTTTTTGGGTCTAGTCTTTATGCTGAGCTTCTTGAATGTAGATTTCCTGGTTCTTCATAATACCTGGGAAGTATTCTTCCAGTACCTCTTCCAAAATTTTCTCAGTGCTTTCTTGTCTCTCTCATATTCTGGAATTCAAATCATATATGCATTATTCCTTTTGATGCCATCCACATGATTGTAATTTTCCCCCCATTTTCTTTATATCTCATCTCTGACTTTTTTTTCTTCTAGTATGTTTCTGTTGTGGTTCTTATCTTCCAGCTCACTGATTCCAGCTCCATCTCTTCTGATCCCTCAAGAGGAAAAAAAATGTATTTTGAAAACTCTCTTAATAGGATAAATCTTTGGAAATTATTTTCTTTCAAATATTTTAGTTCTTACAATTTAAGGTCTTCACAAATTACAGTCGCTTACAGTTTCTATACTTAATATAATTTTGCCAAGGGACATGTAAAGGAGAGGGTTATTTATCCTTCCAGAACATAGAGCATCTGCAATTTTCTTCATAAATTCATTTGATGATAATTTTCACATTTATCTCAGCTCATTTTGAGTCTTCCTCCAATCTTGTGTGATTTAACATCCAAGAATTTATTCTCCTTGATGATTTATTCTACCTAACACCTCCTTCCTCTGACTGTAAGGATATTTCCATGAATATTTAGAGATACGAAGTTTGTTTATTATGACTCCTTTCACAATGTCAATATTATTAATAAGAAATTTCTTTTTGATACCACCTTAAACTTTTACAGATACCAACCAGTATGCTTACTTTTGATAAAATCTGTGGAGATTTCCAGTTTCTTTGATTTTGTAAAAATGTTTTATTTGCTCTGGGAGCTTTGATTGCTTAATCTGTAAGGAGCTGTGCTGGTAACCAAAGGCAGCATTTCTCTGGTAGTTAGAATCCATCTTGGGAGAAAATGGGCTATATCTTTTAAGGTAATTTACAGTTTCTTGAAAACCCATTGAGTCAGCTACAAAATGGCTTGAAAGTAGCCTGAAGAAGAGCTAACTGTGAATAACTGTGGTTGTGGAGGGGAACTATTGCCACTCACCTGGTATGTGGTGGTGGAGAATTCACTTCCTTGGTCTTTGGGGATGGAGGTGAAACGGGTTTTGGGACATGAAAAGCAAACAAGGATATTCACTGTTGTGAGTGAAGACTGCAGCCACTGGCACTGACATCCTGGGTTCTCAAACCATGTAAATAGTTGTTCAAAACAACACAGATAACATTGTACCAGAACAATAATATGTAAAGTAGATGTTAATAAAGAAAATGCCATGTTTTACTGGAAGTAACTGTGGTAAAAGACCTTTATAATGCATTAAAAAATCAGAGATGTCACTCTGAGTATAAAGGTGTATCTGAATCACCACATAGTTTCTTTTCAACACACCCTCAGGTGTGCAAAATCTGCCCAGTGAATCTGAAATAGTAAGTTAGAATTCATGCCTTTCAGTTATAATGTTGGGGGAGAATATTCACTATACTGTGGATTTCTTTTTTTTTTTTTTTTATACTGTGGACTTCTAAAAAGAATGAACAAATTTGTCTTGGAAGTAGTACAGCCTGAATGCTTAATAGAAATAATTCATAAGTGATTCATTGACATCAATTTACTGAACTTACTCATAACTGACCTGACAGGAAGTTTTAAAGGCTGTAAATTTTATGGGAGGAGATTGTCCATCTTTCTCTCAGGAACCGATTGGTAGATTTGAACTGTCTATATTTATCAACAGTCTGCGTTATGCAGATGACACAACTCTGCTTGCTGAAACTGAGGAGAACCTGAAATTCTTGCTGCAGAGGATCAAGGACTGCAGCCTCCAATATGGACTGAGGCTCAATGTCAAGAAGACAAAGATTCTTACCACTGGACCAATTGGCAACATCAGGATGGATGGTGAAAAGATTGAGATTTTTCACAGCTTTAGTTTCTTGGCTCTACAGTCAACACTCTTAGCACCAGTAGCCAGGAAATTAAAAGACATATTGCCATGGGAAAGTCTGCTGTTAGGGACCTATCCAAAGTACTGAAGAGCAATGATGTCTCTCTGGAGACTAAGGTGTGCCTGATACAGGCCATGGTCTTCGTGATCACTTGTTACGCATCAGAGAGTTGGACAATGACGAAGGAAGACAGGAGAATTGATGCCTTTGAGATGTGGTGCTGGAGAAGAGTATTGAGGGTACCATGGACTGCTAGAAAAGCAAACAGATTCATCCTGGAAAGGGTTAAATCGGGTGACTTCCTGGAGGCAAGGATTCTGAGGCTCCATCTAACATACTTTGGACATGTTGTAAGGAGGGAGAGGTCCTTGGATAGGGATATCATGCTTGGGAAGGTGGAGGGACAGCACAGGAGGGGAAGGCCCTGTATGAGGTGGATTGATTCAGTGACTAGGGTAATCGGGATGGGTGTATCGGAGACAGTGCGATTGGCACAGGCCAGAGCAGAGTTTAGGGCTGTTATACATAGGGTCACTATGAGTTGCAAGCGACTTGACAGCACATAACAACAACAACAACATTTGAATTTGTGTTTTATTGGCTATGCAAAGGCATTTAATTATATGGATCATAACAAATTGTGGCTGACATTGAGAACAAGAGTCCCAGGTCACTTAATTGTGCTCAAGTGGAACATGCACCTGGTTGTGTAAACAGAGTAGGGGAACACAGCATGATTTAAAATTGACAAGAGTGTGTGTTAAGATTATATTCTCTCTCCATACCTATTCCATCTGTATGCTGAGCAAATTATCTGAGTAGCTTAACTCTATGAAGAACAGCATGGCATCAGGATTGGAGGGAGACTCATCAATAACCTGCATAATGCAGAAGACACACCCTTGCTTCCTGAAAAGTGAGGAGGACTTGAAGCATTTGTTGCAGAAGATCAAGGAATACATCCTTTAATATGGATTGCATTTCAATGTCAAGAAAACAAAGATTCTTACCACTGGACTAATAGGCAACATCATGCTGGATGGAGAGGAGATTGAAACAGTCAACAGCTTTAACTTGCTTGGATCCACACTTAACACCCTTGGTATCAGTAGGCAGGAAAAAGGAGACATATTGCACTGGGAAAATCTGCAGTTAGGGACCTCTCCAACTGATTGAGGAGTAATGATGTCAGTTTGAGGACTAAGGCGTGTCTGATTCAGATCATAGTCTTTCAGATCACTTGTCTTACATCTGAGAGCTGGACAATGAATAAGGATGACAGAAGAAGAAGTGATGTATTTGAGCTGTGATGTTGGAGAGCACTAAACATACTATGGACTTCCAAAAGAACAAACAGATATGTCTTGAGGAGGATGCAGCCAGAGTACTGTTTGAAGGCAATGATGATAAGGCTGTGCTTCACATACTTTGGGCATCTTGCTAGAAGGGGTTATTGCTTGGAAAGGGATATGATACTGGGAAGGATGGAGCGTTGGCAAAGAAGAGGAAGACCCTTGACCAGGTGGATTGACAGTGACTACTGCAATGGGCTCTAGTGTGTCAGGATATGTGAAGATGATACAGGATAGAACAGGGTTCAGATCTTTTGTTCATAGGATCTATATGAGTTGTACTCAACTGTACATAACAACAGCAACAACAACACTTGAACTGATAGCACAACTCCTTATCGTTGTTGTTGTATGTCCATTGAGCATGACCCATAGCTACTCCATGAACAACAGACCTAAACCCTGTGCCATCCTTACACGTCCTGACACACTAGAGCCCATTGTGGTGTCAGTCTACCTGGTTGAAGGTCTTCCTTTCTTTCACCAACCCTCCACCTTTCCAAGCATGATGTTCCTTTCCAAGGAATAGCACCTCCTACCAACATGCCTGAAGTATGTGAGATAAAGATTCAACATCTTCGCCTCTGAGAAACTCTCTGGCTGCACTTTCTCTAAGATATATTTGTTCTTTAGTAGTTCAATAGACTGGTGAATTCAGTTAACCATGTGGTAGAACCATAAAAATAAACTGAGATCCTTCCCATGTGAAAGAAAACCGTGCCTTGCTCTTTTTAGAGATCGGTATGGAGAAGAAAATATTTGCAAGATCTATTACTGAGTTCCAGTCTCCTTTAGTCTGCTGCATTTCCTGCATCAATGACAGCATGTCTGGGACTGCTGAAGCCATGGGTGACGCTACATTTTTTAGGCTTTGATACTCTAGGGTTAGTGTCCATGAGCTATCTGCTTTTGTAACGGGCCAGAAAGGATTCTTAAATAAAGAATTTGTGGACACTAACACCCGAGCCTTTAGCATATCTTTAATCAAGACAGTTATCTCCTTTTGTCCACCAGGAATCCCATATCCCTTAAAATTAACAGGCTTAGCAGGTTCAAGCAATTCCAATAGTTCCCATTTAGCATGTCCTGTCAGCCCTCAGTTTTACAATACCCAGTAGAAGGAGGGGGCCTCAATTGCACAGAATATTCATACCAATAATATATTCGGTGAAAGGAGATAAAACTGCTTCACAAAACATCTATTTATGTTTTTTAATTCTTATTCAGACTTTCACTCTAATCCAATTAATTGCCTCATTTTCATATCATATCCTCCTAATACAAATTTAAATTCCTTCAGGATTTTATTAATAAGTTTGGGAATTACAGTGCATTGGACTCCTGTGTCTAGAAGCCCCAAGAATTTTTTCTTCTTCTCCACAACCATGCTATTTTACCCACACATGTGCATATGGCAGTAGGTCCCTTCCTGGGGGTTAGAGCAGAAAATCCTGACCTTCTTGTCAATCTATATTTTGATCAACTAGCTGAGTTTCTGCTTCAAGTGACTAAATGGGCTCCCTCATTATAAATACCTCATGAGTGGGATGAATAGAATGGACTTGTTTAGGTTTTCTTGATGTTGGGAGAACAGAGAGAACCTTCATTGGTCCACTCTACACCTGTAGTGCTGCTTTAGAAACTTTCCCCCAACTTTATCAATGTCTACTACAGTCATCCCATTCCTAAGTAATAATCTAAAAATTCCCCACCCCATAGTGTCCTCCTGCTTGCCTATGAATCACCTTGATGTTTCTTGTATCTTTAAAGTCCATAAAGGGAAGTGTTTTCAACAGCGTGACACAGCTTCTTCAATTGGCTTGTTTGCCAGTAGCAAAGCTATCTGAGATTGCCATGTTACTATCTGTGCCATGACCTCTGTAAGGAGCATATTCATTGGATGAGTGTCCTCAGTGCCATAAAGCCACTCCAGCTTTACTTGTATATGAAGAACAGAGAGCGGCATTTTTCTTTGGAGAGATAAACAAGTCTAATCGCACATCTTATCCACTCTATCACGTTAATCATCTCTTCTGGTATAATTTCTCATGTTACTGTATCTTCCAGTGTCATTCTTCTCTGTGTCTCTGTTGTACAGATAATTATGGGCCTACCATTCACCCACATATGTTTTTCCATTCCCTCAGCATACAAAACCACAGATGCTGCCCCTAAATTTCTAATTTTTACAATCTACTATTTGTTCCTCAGGAAGCTGCCAATAATGATCAACAAACATGTACATTTTTTCTATGTCATATTTCCTCACTACGGTAATTTCTTGATCCTACCCATCTGCCTCTCTGTATTTTTTCGTGATCCTGTATTTTCTTTGTGTATACTGCCACTACTGATAACAAAAGCCAAGGACTTATAAATTTCGCTTTTCCCTTATCTTCCTATATTTTGGCATGTATCAAGTTAACCAGCTTCTCAGGAATTAGGTCCACTAATTTCATACCCCAGAAGTAAATATTGCTTTTCTTTCTGTCCACACAGAGTCCTAAAGTTTCTTATTCTTTTGTTTACCTCTTTTTCTCCAAAGACACATGTTACAGAGAGTCTGGACCTTTGTAGTAAATCCTGCTATTCTGAAACCAATTGTTTTTAATATACTATGTGCTAAGATCAATAGCACAGTATTAATCAGAAGCCTTGGGTCAATATAATTGTAAATGCTCAAGCCATAACGTCGGATATTAACAGCTCCATCTGTGGCTCAGTTCTCCAATTCCTCTCTGGTCTTTTGGAATGGGTGAAAAGATTTGCTAAAAGGTGCCACAGAAACTCACACTCATTAGAGGAATGCCTCACATGACTTCAGATAAGCAGGCTGATTTTTCTCACAGACACTGGTGAACAATGGGCTAACCTGGATGCTTAAACACAGTTGTGCTGCTGTTTCTTTGTTGGAGTTTTACAGACACCCTCCTCCCAGTGTGGAAAGTTCTCTCTTATACTGATCCTCTATCTGTTGCTAATTAGAAAGATTGTACTGATTTGTGTGACCATGCATCTACGATTAAGTTAGAGACCAGAAGGAGTTAAGGTGTTGATGTTGATTGCCTTCGAGTTGAGACCTACTAGTTGCAAACCTATGAACAAAAGGCCAGAAGCCCTCCTATAATTATCAAAATTTATCAAAGTTTATAGAATTTCCAGAAGCGTGTTGTTTAGGAAGTGGATGCCACTCCTGATTCCAAACCTGTCTTAAACTGGGAACTCCACCAAACACTGTCCATTGTGAATAACTGTTTGGGCATTTTACGACACCTCAGTACAGCATATTGACAGAAGAGTGCTGTACCACTTAGAAGAATGTTCCTCCAAAATATAATAACAACCAACTTTAAATACAAAGGTCCTCCCCAAGGTCTTGTTGACTCTAAACAAGAGGCTTAAATAAAATAAATAAATACATAAAACCACACACACAAAAAAACCCCAAAACAACCAATAGAGTATGTTATTATTGTTATGTGAAATTTAGTTGCCTGTGATGTATAGCAACCCTATGGATAAAAGCTCTGAACCCTTCCCTGTCTTGAGCCAATCTCACTAATTCCAGTACACCAACCCTCTTTGCTTCAGATCCTGTATCAATCCATCTCTCCAGGGTCTTCATCTCCTGCACTGTCGGTCCACCCTTCTGAGTATGATGTCCTTCTCTAAGGACCAGTCTCTCCTGGCCATGGGCCCAAAGTACATAAGACAGAGCATGAAAATTCTAGCCTCCAAGGAGAGATTTGGTTTTACCCTCTCAAAGACAGTCCTATTTGTTTTCTTGGTAGTGTATGGTATGTTCAAGACTCTTCTTCAACACCACAACTTGGGAAGACATCTATTCTTCTTCTGTCATCCTTAGTCATTGTCCAGCTCTCTGAAGCATAACAAGTAACTGAGAAGACTATGGCCTGGATTAGATGCACCTTTGTCTCTAGATTGACATCGTTGTTCTTCAGCACTCTGGAGAGGTCCTTGACTGCAGATTTTTCCCAAAGCAATTTGTCTTTTGATTATCTGACTGAGGTGTTAAGAATTTTGTTTATGGATCTTTACAAGCTGTAATTGCTAACAACCTCAATCTCTTCTCCATCTATCATGATGCTGCCTATTGGCCCAGTGGTGAGAATCTTTGTTTTCTTGATGTTGAGCTTCAATCCATATTGAAGACTACTGTCCTTACCTTTTTGCAGCATGTGCTTCAGGTCTTTTTCAGGTTGTGTCATCTGCGTATCGTAGGTTGTTAATGAGTCTTCCTTCAATCTTGATGCCACATTCGTCCTCCTAAAACTCTGCTTCCTGAATGATCTGTTCTGCACAGATTGAAAAGGTATAGGGACAGGATGCATCCCTGACACACTCCTTTCTTGATTTTGAAACATGGAGTGCTTCCTTGCCCTGTTCTGAGGACTGTTTCTTAGTTCAAGTATAGGTTTCATTTCATATAAGTACAATTGAGTGTTCTGAGATTCCCATTTTTCTCAAGGTTAGTAGCAATTTGTTATGATCTGCACAAATGCCTTTGCATAGATAATGAAACATAGGTAGACATTCTTCTGGTACTCTCTGCTTTCTGCCAAGATTCATCTGACATTGGCAATAATGTCCCTAGTGCCATGACCTCCTCTAAACCCAGATCTTTCTGGTAGTTCTTTGTCAATGTACTGTTCCAGTCATTTCTGGACAATCTTCTGCAGAATTTTGCTAGTCTATTATATTAGTTATATTGTTCAATAATGACCATACTCTGTCGGATCACTTTTTCTTGGAATGGGAATAAATAAGAATCTCTTCCAGCCAGTTGGCCAATCAGTTGTCCTCCAGATTTCTTGGCACAACTTGGTGAGCACATGCAGGGCAGCATCTGTTTGCTGAAATACGTCAATTGGTATTCCATCAGTTCCTGGGGCTTTATTTTTTTTGTCAAATCCTTAAGAGCAGCCTGAATTACCTCCTTCATCACAATTGTCTCTTGATCATACCTGGTTTCTTGAAGTTATTCTGTGTCAACCAATTCTTTTAGTACAATTGTTCTATATACTCCTTCCATTTTCTTTTAGTGTTTCCTGAATCATTCCATATTCTGCCTATAGAATCCTTAAGAACTGTATCTTGTATTTATTCTTTAGTTCTTTTGGCATAAGAAATGCTGAGCAAGTTCAGCTCCTCGCACGTTTTATTATAATACTATGCCTTGTCTTCCCGAGCGGCCCTTTGAAATTTTCTATTCAGCTCCTTAACTTCTTAATGCCTTCCTCTTGCTATAGCTTCTTGGTGCTCTAGTGCAATATTCAGAGTCTCTTCTGACATACATTCTGGTCGTTTTTTCTTCTTCCTTCTTTGTAACGACTTTTTGAATTCTTCATGAATAATATTTTTCTTTTAGCGACTTTTTCTCTAAAGTACTTAGGAGCAACAGTGTCTCTCTCTGGAGACTAAGGTGCACCTGATACAGGCCATGGTATTTGAAATCGCTTGTTATGCATCAGAGAG